TACTCTACTCTACTAAACCTTTAGTAGAGGTCTCGATACTCTACTCAACCTACTCGACTAGACTACTAGGTTTAGTAAAGGTCTCGATACTCTACTCACCCTACTACTAGGTTTAGTACTGCTCGTGATACTCTACTCTACTAAAGTTTTAGTAGAGGTCTCGATACTCTACTCGACCTACTATTAGGTTTAGTACTACTCCCGATACTCTACTCTACTAGTCTAAGTCTAAATCTTTAGTAGAGGTCTCGATACTCTACTCACCCTACTATTAGGTTTAGTACTCCTCCCGATACTCTACTCTACTAAAGTTTTAGTAGAGGTCTCGATACTCTACTCGACCTACTATTAGGTTTAGTACTACTCCCGATACTCTACTCTACTAAACCTTTAGTACGACTGTCGATACTCTAGACTACTCAAAATACTCTACTCTACTAAACACACCCTTGGACAGACTACTATGGGTATCCCCGCTGCAAAGATCCAGCACAACAATTGGGTTAGGAAGATCGATGATGCATGGCTGGGAAGACCGTTCTTCTGTGGATCTTCTGTTCGCATTCGGGTCGACCAGTCCATCGACTCCTTGTTGTATGATACTATTCAGTATGCCCGCGATGTCCACATTTGGGGGCGATAGTGTCTACGGTACCGCTGCCGCCGTTGTTGTACAAAAATAATAGACCACCACCGTGGGAACCCGAACGTGTGGCAGGCAACGATATTTTGTCGGCATTGTTCCACGTAAGAAGCGGTCGAGTGGAGAAGAGAGATAGTAAGGGAGGCTTCAGAACAGGCCCACAGGGCAAAGGGAGAAGCGTAGCTTGGCGTCGAAACGGCCGAGACGGCCTACCTGCTCGAATGTGGCGTCTCATTGTCCAGGTGCACCAACCAGCAGTGGCGTCAGCAGGTCATTTCTAATGGTAAAGAGAGTCGGGGAAGCGGCGGTGGGGGGGAAGAAACGGCGACCGGGCACTGCTGTAGAAGCGAGCAGGGCGGCCGAGGCAGCACTTGTGGCGAACTATGTACCCGGCTGATGTTGTTGCGCCCTGTTTCCCTCCCTGCTGTATGCTATACTCCTTCCTGTGTGTATGTCCTTTGTATTTCCTTCGGCCTCTGTGCTGTGTTTCTTTTTATGACCTCCCTGCCTACTCTGCTGTGTTGGGTACCTTGATCTCGCTTTGCTGTTGCCTTTCTTTGTTTTTGTACGTCTGGCTGTCTACCCATCTGCCGCCTCTTTGTCCTGTTTGCTCCGTTACTCCCATGCCCTGGTGCGTAGTGCCTGGTGCTGGTACGTTACCTTTTGATTTTTTCTTTGGGCGGGTGTGGGAAGCGTCCTCCTTTATTGTTTTATACTACTATTTTTTTTTATTTGATCGGTTTCCGAGGGCTCTTTTCTCGAACGGTCGGTGCGATACCTGTTATTTTCTATCATTTTGTTCTCTTTTTCCGAGTGGTTTGTGCCCTATTTTTGTTTTGTTTTTCCCATGGCGACGTATGTTCCGGGTTTTGAGACCACGGGCTCCCCATATTTTGTGGACTAGAGCGAATGTGAGAAACAACAACAAACAACAATACATAGTCCTCATCACCATTAGTTTCTGGTCTGGTAGTAAGTATCCTCGAAAACCGCGTGAGGCAGAGGTCGTGAGTTCAAATCTCCATGGTTTACAACATCTGCGGGTGAAAGCGAAATAAATTTATAGCCGAAAAGCTATCGTGAGTACCAAACCTCGACGTTAGCACCGTCGGCGAGGGAAAGGGACGGCTGGAGTCTTCTCGCGATAAAAGAAAAATTCAGCACGCACCACAGGAGGAAGGTGGGGCATGAAAATAAATAGAAGAAAAAAGGCCTGATTTTTAACCCCTCCTGTGTGACCCTGGATGGTTGTAGTTGTACGAAAAAATATACTGAAAAGTGTAGACTAGTACTCGGCATACGCTGAAAAAGTGTAGTAGTCTACACGTCCCACCACGAAAAATGGGGGGACTGTCGCCATAATAAAAAGGACGAAAACACACACACTTAATAGATGGTGAGTCCTCCACCCCAAAAAGCCTCTCTTGGATTGATTATCGTTTCTCTTTCAGGCAACGGTCACATCGACCTCGCGAAATCGAGAACCTTGTCTTGGAGAACCAAGGCAGGTCATTCTCACGGTTCTTCTAATTTGGATCCTTCTCGGAATGTTCTTCCCCACTCAAATTCAGCCGGATTCTACCTGAACCAAGATAGATTTCCGGCCTTGGGTGGTACTAAGCAGCCGGTTAAGAACAGAAATGCCATGTGTCCAGACAACTTCATCTGACACGAAGGTAGCCACTGGGGCAAGATCCTCCCTCCCTCGAACGATTGAAGGAAAGACAAACACACGCACGCGCATACACATTTGCCATTGACAGCAGACAGCCCCGGAAGGCGCGGTGCCACACGTCTTCGTGTTGCCACGCCGCTAGATTGTACTCCAAGAAGCAAAGAAGTACATTCTTCGCCAAAGCTCATCTCGCTGTCGTCACCCCCGGGACCAGCTCTTTCACGGCATGATGAGCGAAGGAAGAAAAAGGCGGTGAAGTGTTTCGGATCAACGTTCGCGGAGTGTGGGGCGGAAGGTGTGTCATCAGGAGGGCAAGTGGAGACACTTTGCGGTCTCGAAACATGACTGATTGATTGTCGTGCGGAATGCCAGAAATAATTAAACTTAAACCCCCCATGACGTACGGGTTGGCACACGCACTTGCTTCGGCTGTACAGTGCAAAGCAGCAACAGTAATTAGTTGACTGTACGTTGATTCGCTCCTTGTCGCGTCAAACTTGTCAAGAGGTGTCTGTATGCGTACGAAGGCCAAAGCATGCGAGGGGCTTACCTTTGGCCTTGATCACAACCACGCCGCCGCCTGCCTCGTGGATGGCCACTTTTGTCTCTCCGAACCCGTGCTCAGAAAGAAACGTTCGGGCTTGGGCGAATGGTGCATGCAAGTTGCCGAACTGGTCAACCAAAAGCACCCAAGAAGTCCTGAGACCAGTGGGCGACAACAAGAAAAAGTTACGGTGGCAGTTGACCTGGCCTGAAGATGGTGCGATCGACCTTGTGTCCGGATTGTTCGAGGACGAACATGCGAAAAGAAGCAGGGTGTACTAGTTATGGTTGGCACAGGCTTCTGGTGCCCCTAACCCTCACGCTTATCCTATCGGATAGGAGATGGCGGTACACTTTCCCGCGATGATGAGATTTGACTCTACTCTGCGCCAGCGATAAATCCAAGGGAAGGCACACTGCCTGCTAGAGCAGTGGCGGCCGCAATCAACCAAAGGTTGTCGAAGCGGGGCTGTGCAATTTATCAACTCCACGCCCGCGTGAGCATACAAGGCGCCATGACGTGGATACTACGTGAGGTGAAAAAAGCACTTGGGTACCCCTTACTTACCGTATCCCATCTTTGGCACGCCTCATCATCGCGGGAGCCAGAAGAGTCACCGGGTCTAGAGTAGCGCCGTACTCGAAGGCCTTCAGCTGCAAAGGAAAAACACGTACGTACAAGTATCGCACGCCGAAGAGAACCGCAGCGATCGCAAAAACAAACGGTCCGCCGTCAAGTAGTGATTTCGTGATTTCAAGGCTGGACGGGGGGGCAGAAACGACAGCCACATAAGCAAGAGAAATATGCAGTAGCGGACGTGGATAACGCCGCTCTCAAGGCAGAGGTGATTGGCAAATCATGATTCACCCAAGAAGACCAGCAGGTACTTCCTCTCTACCATTTCCAGCGCTCAAACGTTCTGAGTGGGCGCGCGAAGTCGGCTTCGCCGCCACTACAGTATCGTACTCTCAAGCCTTGGCTGACAAGCACAACTCTCAGAAACCATGCCGCGCGATTGCCACCTCAGGGACGACTCTCCTAATTTCTCCCACACGTACAATTTCACGAACTCGTCATTGCAAACAACCAAGTCCGTGACTCCAACGTAAAAGACATAAACCGAGGCCGGGAACGGCATTGCGTGCTGGACTATCATCGCTACATACAGCCCCCGGACGCAGGGCACTTGCGTCACAGTTACAACGCTTTTCCGATGATCACGAGCGATCGAACGCACCCACCTGGTGAGTTATCTCAGCTTCCCCGTCAGAGAACAGGGCCACCGCCGCGTACCTACAATGTAGGGGATAGAGGGATGAAAGCCTTGACGTAGTTCACTAAAAAGCTATTCAGCCGTGGACACGGTAAAACTAGAGGAATGAAAGCCTTGACACAGCAGTTCACTACAAGCTGTTCAGCCGTGGACATGGTTGAACCGAATCGCTACACGCACGAGTAGAGACGCGGGTGTAACCGGTTAGGTTCTAAGCGGAGCGTTGTCAACGGGTGGACGAACGACACTATCGACGCCCTGAAAGGTCTCCCCTGTCGCCCAGTGCTGTTCTCTTGGGCATGAAAACAGTTCCTCCGCGTGTACATACGAGACGGTGAACGTGCGGTTGTTCCCACACACTCGAATCGGTATGTGTCACAGAGGCATGATGCGACGAAAAATTAGGCAGTGGAACACGAACATTACAACACAACAAACAACGTCGCACGCCAAGGCAGCGACGCGTTCATTTACGGGGGCACTGTACCTGATAGGATGAATATCGTCTTTGTCGTCTCCGGCAGTTGCTCTCCACGCGGCGTCGTAGGCTTCAACAACACCTCTCTCTAGCCCTACTCGCTCTGCCAGGTTCGGATCCGACAGCTCTTCCGCTTTCTGTTTTCCATACGCCGCATTGGCGCGCACAAAAAGCGTACGGTGAATACCACGACAAAGAGACTGAGATAGAGATAAGCTAGAGTTGCAACCGGCCGGATCCTAACAAGGTAAACACGAAAAACCCGCCACCGCGTGTGATCGTGTTGAGTTTAGGGCCTGGAGGAGATGTCGAACGCGACCCAATACCTGATGAAAGCACCTCCACGTGTCACACACACACAACGTCAAGACAGCATGCGACACGTCTTCGAAGGTCCAGCGTGCACGCAACACCCAAGACAAGACAGCGATGTTGCCATCACATTTATCTTACCTTCGTTTTTTGTGCCCCAGCTCCAAGATGTGCCAAACGTAGGGTCGGATTCCACCAATATTAAGCTGCTTTGGTGCCGTCCTACCATGGCATGCCATTCCATGGAATCAGATGCACTGAGAAAGACGCAAGCCCGAAGGTACTAGAGGCAATGAGAAAGACGTAAGACCAATACGTGGCAAACCTAAACCATCGGGGTACATGTTCCGCGCTTTGCAGGTAAAGCCACCACCGCAAGTCGAAAATCCATACGTAGGTCGGAGCGGTTCGGGTAATCACCTGCTGCACCAGGAAGCCAAGCTTAAGTTGCCCTCCTCTCTCCGTGACCCCGTACATGTTCCTCCACGGGTACAGCTCTCCGACGGTGGACACATCCATCCGCAAAGGCGCAGCTTTAGCTCCCTCACTTCCTCCTGACTGCGCTCGTCCTCCTCCCTCGCCCCTCTCGACACTCGCCGCTAAGATGCGCGTATCGCATGAAGAATAAGGAGAAGGACTTGCCGCAGGCGGTGTCGCTGCCCCTGCGTGTTTCCCGTCGCCAGCTGGTGGTGCTGTCTCGCAGCCGCAGGTATCTACCGCCGCCTCCCCAGCAACGAGCGCTCCTGAGCCGGTAGCACCGCCGCCAGTCTTAGCCGAATCCGGCCAAGGCTTGAGGTTTGACTCCTCGTATAGCAGCCCGCCGGGGATAATGGCTTCGCCGGAGCCGGACATGACGACCGGAGTGGAAGGACGGAGGTGGGCAGACAGGAACTCCCTGCACAGCACGCCTTGCGTCACGCAGAAAAGCACGAAACGGAATCGTTCGAGGGTGTCTGTGCGAGGGGTTGGAACGCAAGAAAAGTTCTCTCTCTCTCTCTCGCTCTCTCTCTCTTGTCAGCGTGGAACACAAACATTAAGCAATGTTTTTTCCTGGTGGTCCATAAGAAGCGATACGGGCGGTAAGACTGATGCAAAACTTCGAATCCCGGCAGACACACGCACAAAAACACAAACCCACGCGGAGATCGCTGCTGTGTGTATCACGCCGCCTGAACGACCCTTAGGCCATGACTTGAAACGGGCGGCCAGCCTACTTTCTACACCAAAACGTAAGTTGCGAAAGGCTGTCCCGTCCAAAACTCTGACCAGCGCCGTGTGTACAACATGTGTTATGAAGTGCCGGCAGGGCCGCGATTTGAAGAGGATTGCCTGCTTCAAGCAAAGAAAGACTCGAGCAACAGACAGACGAGTGCTAGTCGCGGGACACGACGAAGGACGGGAGGGGAGTCACAGAGTCACAGCAGCGCTACACCTACATACCGGGCGCCAAAGGGTGTTGGTAGTCTGTCACGACGACCACCTTAGTCACGCGCTTGCAGTTGCTCTCCTCGCGAAGCTTGCACATGGCCGCACGCTCGGCGCAGATGGAACTCCCGATGGTACTGGACTCTGCGTTCGTTCCTGTAGGCCATGGCATGCATCGGTGTTTCGACGCTGGCGTTGGGGCTGGCTGGTTGGCTGGTATGCGGACATGTCGGCATAGACGAAACCGAAACTTGGTGGCGGGGGTGGGGGGCGGACGAGTGCGCACGCTAGCGCGCGCCTGTCTGAAAAAACAATCGCGCGAACAGGGCCTTTTATGTCGCAAGCCGGCCCAATGCCACCGAAGCAGATGTTGCTACGAAACTTTGCTCCATCGCACAAACACCGCCTACGTCTCATGCGGTAACAGTGCCCCGGGTATAGGCCATATGGGCGAAAAACGGACACCGCACGGGGGAAAACAAGAACGTGCTTCATGCTTCACGCAAAGGCGCTGTGGCACACAGTCAAGGGAGTCCACATCCACAACTGTTGTGAGGAATTCTGCCATATGACACCAGAGGTCGTGCCAAACATCGTCGAGGGCAACACTAAGACAGACAGACAGCAAGAGCACGATCAAGGGCGCGAATCGATGGCGTGCATCGGAACACCCCCGCCTTGCCGCAGCACGCGTTCTTCCAAGCCACGCAGCAGCACTCTACAGCAGCACGCTACAGCAGCACAATACAGCAGCAGCACACCTACTCGCCGGTGATGCGATGCAGCCTGCCCGAGAAGTCCTCGTAGACAAGGATGCACACCACACGGAACAAGCTCTGGTGCGGCGGAACCAGCTTCCGTCGGAGCTCGTGGGCTGCCTCAACCAGCGCGGCGTTGTCTTCCTCTCCCAAAGCAGCGCCTGAGATGTCCGACTCGGCAGCCATGACGGTAGCGCTCGGTCTTGAACTTGTAGTCGTCGCCGAGAGACACGCCAGGATAACGCCTGCCGTGGCTACCACGGAGACGCTTGCGAGGGCCGGTACCCGACGCCACCGCGAGGGATCCCCAACACCGGCGGAGCTATTAATGTTCGCAGCGATTTCGGACGTCGAGAAGGAAATAATACGCGAACGCCCTCGGTCTGTCTGCAATAAACCATTGGTGGTATTTCGAGCGGGGGGTGTGTGTGTCCGGATCAACACCACAGTACAGGGAAGGCTTGACCAACGTTGTTCTCGGTAGCATGTTCTCGCCACGCGGTCAGAGAATGAAATGCCTTGTTGTATCGCATGAAACCGGCGGAGCGGCTCTACATATTGTACCGATATGCCACCATGGGCATCGTTGTTTCTTTCGCTAGTATATATAGGATGGGTCAGCCCTACCAGAGCAAACCACCGCGGAGCACTAAGAAGCAGGTACGTAGGTAGATATGACATCAGGGCCGTGAGAGAAGACGATTGGTGTGTATGTGCCAAGGCACGCTTACGGCAGGTACACTCAAGGAAGTTATAGCCCGACCTGGGTTAGCATGGAGAGCAATCTAGCAACATGTATGGTCGAGCAGCGCAGAGTAACGAGGAGCACTTGAAGGCCCTTGCAAGAGCAAAATATTCTATTGCATGTTCCCCGGCAAGCTTCACTGAACATTCACAGCCAAGATTTGAGCACCTTCTGCCTGTAAACTATCTTAACCGGCGGGAAGTCCTCTGTTGGATTAACGTCTGCGAACCATTTGCATCGACGAGACGCCCGTAGAAGTACACAGGTTGCACAAGATGCCACACCTCCTGGGCTGATTCCAAAGCTCGACTACTCTGAAGCAAAACACGGCAGTGGCGGTGCCGACATGACGGCGATGGAACCGCCTCGGCGGGAGCTTTTCCATAATGCACAAGTATCATTTGATTTGGTAGCAACTTCGTCGTGGAGTAATCGAGCTTTCAAAATCGGTCCGGGGGGCGTGGTATCTTACGTCATGCAACCTACGGTTGATTGTTGATCAGGATTCATCATGCGCAACGCGTACTGCTGAAGTGAACGTTTTCCTCACAAGGAGGACGAGGATGGTGCCATGGATAATAAAAAACAGAGACACCTTAGTCTTGAATAATCGTGTGCATGTACGGCTTCTAGAGCACACTGGGAGAGTGCGCATCGATCAAACACGAACCCAAGATAGTCAGCAGCAGCCGTAGCTTGTGAATAGTGGTAGATGGATTGGGTGAAGGGGAGCCATAGCGTTGTAACTTGCCGTAGTTCCTGCAGCCCTTGGCCTTGCCCTTGGCTTCAAGCACGCACCACCCCAACGCATGACCGAATACCGTGCGTTCTGCAACATATCACGGTCTCCCCTCTCTGTCGGTGCTGCTGCTGCCTGGCTGTTGCTGGCTTGGTTGACCGTGATGGGTGGATGCTGTTACGGATCAGCTGATCAGCTGGTGTGGCTGTGCATGACGCTGTGACGGAGCCCCTGAAAGCAGGATGTATCCTTGAAAGCCTATCTGGGGTGCCACTTGTCGTGTCTGCAGTGTGCAGTGCTACTGCAGTGCTTGCCCTGCTCCCACCACCGCCTGCCGCTGTCCAGTGCAGTGCTTTGATCGAGGTTCAACAGGTTTAGTTAGCCGACCAGACCTCCAGGTGAATGCTGATTGTGTGGGTCTTTGAACGACGGTCTCTTGTTTTGCAGCATCGTGAACAAAGCGCCCCTTCGCGTGGTGTGTGAACCCGCCCTTTGCTTGGTTTTGACAACCTATCCATACCTTCCCACTCAGCTGCTCTCTGCTGAGAGGTCTCGGGGTGTATGTACCGCGCACCTGGTGTTTATGTATGTTGGCACGACACTCTATTTAACCCCAGCTTTCTTAGGCCAGCAATGCTTGGTTACATACTGCTTGACGACCGGCTGTATTGCGTGGCAGCGACTATCGTTGGGTAGTCTGCTGCCTCTTGTATCTACCATGTACCACAGCGGTAATGTCGTTGTGGGTGTCGTGGGCAGCCCAAGCACCGGTGCCGGCAGAAGTCGTTCACGCACAGCAGATCCACTGCTTTTGCAAACTCACATAGCAAACACGGCTGACTGTACCACGCGCCAAATCTAATGTTGTTATCGACACATCAAGATCCTTGTGTTGGTAAGCGTAGTCTGATCCTCTCAGTGGCCGACAAGTTTTGTTTGTTTGCGATGCAACACGCTCCAAATCTCGATCCGTCCTGCGGGGTCATCTCGCCGCACCTATTGTCACACTCACATCTGCGCCGCCAAGGAATACAGAGCAAGCAAGAGGAGCAATAAAGTTGCAACATGTGCAAACAGTCTCACAGGGTTGCTGACAGGAATGCTTGCATGTGCGCTTGAATCGTATAGCGGTGCAAGCGACAAGAGATGCGACAAGGCACGGCACTTCGAAAGAGGGGGAGTGACTTATGTATTATACCGTACGTGACGTAAGATATCATACCCCCTGGGTCGATTGCCAAGCATGAGTACGTACAGCAGTACTGAACGAGGAGGATATAGACGTGTTAAACAAACGACACATTTTCGAAAAGCACCCGACGAAAAGATGGAATGCACGCTCTTATAGGTCTACTAATGTACACTCAGTACACACCTGGCTTACCCCCTTCTTCCCCATCGGCCACCGGACTCAGGTGCAAGATCTGGGGGGCAACCGACAGCGCCGCAGCTGTGGAATAGAAAGAGGATAAACGAAGTCAAACAATCATGGCGAACGCTACCGGTAAGGGCATTATCCCTCTTTTCGTCTACATGCCAATCAATGTCTTGCGGACAAACAAACCTTAACCTTCTACTTATCACAACAGGCCCATCCATTCGTTTTGCTCGTGTGTATAAGGAGTTTGTGTCTGTCTCCCGGTAAGTTGTGGGACTCTTCCTCTGTACTACTCGTAGGAGTTCTTCTTTTCTCCGTCTAGCGATGATGCCTTATTCAGTCCAAAGGGTATAGAAGATGTGTGAGCCCGTGTGGCGCGGGTGTCAGGGAAATTCTCCCCTCTCGCGGTTTCAGGGGAAAGCAACGTGTCAACACACAACACGCACGTTGTGGCTGTGGGTGCGCTGGATGGCAGCAGAGGCCGGGATCAGTTTGTGAATGTGGCATAAGCACACGACGCACAAACCTCCTTACATGAACGGCTGCTTCGTGAGCAGCCACGGAAGGCAGCAGCAGTAGAACTTCTGTGGAGTACCTAACCCATGCCTTCCCTTGTCCTGGGAAGCACCTGTACATCCCCGCCACTTTTCCAAAGACGGGGTTTGGGTCACTGCTGTGCCGTCGACTATCCCGCCCTTGCTTCACCTTGGTGTTGGTTTCGTTGCACCGCAGCATTCCGCGCTTCCTTTCACACCCGTTCCCTCGTGAATCCTGCTTATCCTACCTCCCCACCTCTGTCAACCCCCGTGTCCATCCTCGTCGATGCTTCATCCTGTCCCCATGTGCTACTTGGTTTATCAGATCCCTTGGCACGCACGGTGCATGGCACAAACCCTCAGAACTTGATCGAGAAGATCACAAGGCAGAAGATCTACAACAACCTGTAAGAGCAGCCGCGAAGGGACGGGGCATGTTGAAAGCCACTCCTGCTGTAGAGTAGCCGTTGGCGTGGCATGTCAACCGTATTCTCCCCCTCCTCGGGGATGGAACGCTATAGCTATTGTAGCGCAGCAGCGGCCACGAAGGGTCGTGTGTTGTTTGTTAGTGCTGCATTTCGTGTTTGGTTGGGGTCGTGATGTCAGCAGCAGCAAGAAAGATCCCTCTGTTTTGTGATCGATGTTGTCTTTGTTTGATCCCCCCATCCTTTTCAAGCGTTGCAACCACTCAGCTATATATAGAGAGAGTACCACTCTGTTAGAGAGAGTACCACTCTGCGGTACGGCCTCACATTGCGGCATGAAAACAGAATACCGATACTGGCGCAGTTTCGCCTTTGCATTATGCCAAGACTTTCACTAAACCATCTCCGTTGGCGCTACTACGTGATTTCTCCCAGCTTGTCTTATTTACACCTGTTGTGCTCACCTCCACCACTGGTTTACACTTTTTTTTCAGTGTTTCATGACCACTATTTATCGCAACCACCCCTCCTTGTTGTCGACGATGGTATGCGTCCCTTGCGCTTTATAGGCGAGGCAGGATGCTTAGCTGG